ACAAAACAAAACAAAACAAAACAAAAAAAAAAAAACAAAAAAACACCAACGAAATTTTAAACGTGATCTGCCAAGTTAAATAATGAATAATTAAGCTGAAGCTTTTGGGGTGCCGGCGCTGGAAACGCCCGGGCGGCTCGGAGCGGCGGACCCTCCGTGGGTTTATCTCCTGGGATGCATCCCAGCGGGAAGGCCGTGCCGTACCGTTTGGAAGTGGTTGCGCAGGTGCTCCAGGCGGGTGAACCTCTTCCCGCAGGCCTCGCAGGGGTACGGCCGCTCCCCGGTGTGGCACCGCAGGTGCCGCTTCAGGTCCGCGCGGCGCTTGACGGTGTGAGTGCAGAACGGGCACTTGAACCGCATGCGGGGCAGGTCACCTGCCGGGGGGGGCACAGGGGAGGGCTGTCAGCTCGGAAAGGGGCAGTTCCTGCTCCGTCAGCAAATAGGGAAAACCCCCAAATATTTTATATAAACGTATTATGTGTTGTCAGAGTCATTAACTCGGTTGGTGGGTTGGTTGGAACTATTAGCAGTGCTGATAGTGCCAAGGCTGTGGGTTTGATCCCCACATGGACCACTGATGATCCTTGTGGGTCCCTTCCCACTCAGAATATTATGTGACATTATGTAATACAGTGCCATGGTCTAGCAACTGCAGCAGCAGTGGAACAAGAGTTGGACTTGATGATCTCAGAGGTCCCTTCCAACCCAGCTGATTCTATGATTCTATGATTCTATAATATGTAAGATGTAAAATAGAATATATAATATAAGAAATACAATCTATGAATATGTAAAATATGGGCTTCGGGGGTATATACACATGTGTATACACGTGTATGCACATATATAAAATGTATTTCATCTATAAAAAAATGCATTTCATCTAAAAAATGCATTTCATCTGTAAAATTTATTTAATCTGTAAAGTTTATTTCATCCGTAAAATTTATTTCATCTATAAAATGTATTTCATCTCTAAAATTTATTTCATCTCTAAAATGTATTTCATCTCTAAAATGTATTTCATCTCTAAAATGTATTTAATCTATAAAATATATGAAATAGATAAAATATGTGAAATAGATAAAATATATTTAATATGTAAAATATATCTATCCCCCCCCAAGCCCATAGTTCTCACTGAGCATGTTAAATGGCCATTTTAAAGTGGTTTTTCTTTCTTACTGGGGGTATTTTTTAGACATACAGATGATCATAAATATGTAGCTATTATATATATTTGTACTGTCTGAACCATTAGCTTTTCCATCAGCTAATGGTTCATAGCTTTGACATTTATAATCTCTGTTTAATATATCAGGGTGCCTAAAGTCTTCAGAATATGCCATTACAATATGAATAATAT